AGGTGAGCACCATTATTATTCCAATTTTACCAAGAAGGCAACTAAAGCACAGAGAGTGTATGTGACTTGCCCAGGGTCACACAGCTACAATGTGGCAGAGCCAGGGTTTGAATCCAGGCGGTCTGGCTCTTCGTTGACTTTGCTACACTGACATAACTTAAACAAGTAAATGGTCAAGTTGATTTCAGGTGACTATAATTGCCAATAAGAAAATAAAATAGGGCATCATAATGGTGACTGGGGCTAGGTCAACCTTGATTCAGTGGTCAGATAAGGATTTTGGGGTGGGGGGTAGTGGTGACGTACAATCTGAGACCTGGCAGGGGCGGAGGATCATAGTAGCACCCAGACGGTCTCTGTTGAGCCCTAGCGGGTCCCAGCACACAACTCACAGCCGCTTGCGGACCCTTGAGTCCATAACCAAGAACCCAGAGCCCCTGGAACCACTCAGAGACAATGGTCCTCAGTGAAGGGTGTGCAGAGAGCAGCTTGGACACAGGCTGGGGGTAGGGCAGAGGCTGAGGCCCCTAACAACAGGATGCTGGGAACTTCAAGCTCTGGGTCTGTTGGTTTTCCTACAGACGCTCACACACGCTCAAAAATACATGCGAATACCCCCAAGTCCATGTACACACAATTCCCCACCCAGAGTCTCACCTGCCCAGGGCCTCACCTCCTCTGACGTTCCCCAGGGCTGTTCCAGGCCCAGACCCACTCCCAGGGGTCACAAGAAGACCCTGGAAATGCATAGGGAAGGATTTCAGTCAGCAGCTGCTTTTTACTAGTGCCGTCAATCAGCTGACAGGAGATTATTTCAGGTCTGACAATATAGAGTGAAGCACTATTTATATGTGATGATGGATGGTCCCTAGATTTGCTGTGATCATCATTTCATGACGTATGTAAGTCACATCATCAGGCTGCACGCCTTAAACTTATGCAGTGCTACATGTCAGTTATATCTCAACAAACACGGAAGAAAAAGTGTACAGAGGGAAGCAGGACGCCCTTCACCTCATGAAGGGTCTACAAGGAAAGGAGAAGCCTGGCTTCCTGGCTCTAGGCCCTCCTGCGAAAGTGAGGGGGAGGCAGAAAGCAGCTATGGTGACTATATTTCTTAGGGCAGTCGTTTCCCAAACTGACAAAAAACCCGGGTCACCTCGGGGCCTCGCGAACGTAACAGATTTCTGAGATTTTGATTCGCTGGGTGCAGAGTGGAGCTGAGAGCCTATGACTTTGGCTAGCATTCCAGGCAATTCTGTGGGTCGCTGCTCTGAGAGCTGCATGAGGTGGCATTAGCGCTGTGCTTGCCAGGACAGGGCAGGCTGGGTTTGGGGTCGGTGACAGCTGGCCCAGCCCAAGGCGTTTGTTAGGCTAATAAATGCTTACTTGCATTTCACTGCTTTTGAGCATGACACTTGTATTTGCTTGGACAAATCACAGGTCCATAGTTAGAGATACTGTTCTCCTCCCCGCACAGGTTGCCACCATGACTAAGGGCACCCAGTCCAGGTGGAACCCCACCCTGAGATCCTCCTCGTTTCCCAGCACCCCACCAGCCACTTAGGGTTAGAAGGACAACATCAATTTTCAAAGTCCACTTCCCGGCATCTCCAGCCCACACTCCATGATAATGTTCAACCCCTTCCTGGTTAATGAGAAAAAAAAAGAAAGAAAAAAAAATCCCTGATTCCTGGCAGGTTCTAAAGCATAGTTCAGTTACACAATAATGAGCAAACACCTTGACAGCAATGAGCAAACTGTGAACCCTGGTTCCCGCCCACCTCTGACAGCCAGAGAAGGGAGGCAGGCTGGTCCTGGGCAGGAAGGGGATTTGAGGAGTGTGAATGCTAGGCCTTCAGCTGGTACCCCAAGCCCCTGTGCTCTGGCTTGGGCATGGCTAAAATGTGAGAACAGTAGAGCTGGAAGACTCCAAAGAAAGTCGGTCCTGCGGGAACAAGGCCTTGCCGTACCAGGATCCAGAATCCAGGCCAGAGCCTGGGCCTTTTATGTTGCAAGTTTTGGTAGTTATTTTCATTCTAGTAAAGGAAGCAAATTGCAATCACATTGGCTGTATCTATATACCTTCATGGGAGACTGTTGACTTATAGACATAATTTAAACTCAAAGTCCCCATCTCAAGAGCAGGGTGTGTTTGCCATTCTAACTCACTCAGACTGACTTTCTATAGAACTGAGAAATTGGCGATAAGTGTTCAGGGCACAATGAGTTTGGAAAAAATTGGCAGGTAACAAAAACGGAAGACAGTTCTCGGATCCTGCAGCTTTGCGCCTGAAAGGGCCCTGCAGGTCTGCATCTGTGTGTGATCATTGATTCATCCAGCTTTAAAAGGGAGAAGCCATTACTGATCAATTTACAGATAGGGAAACTGAGGCCCAGGGAGCCAGCATGCCATGGCGAAGACTCCTATTTCACGAGAACAAACAACGGGGCTCAAGAAGTTGCTCAGAGTCCTGAAGTCCCAAGGGGAATGTGCTGCCCGAGGCCCCTGAGGTCTGTCCTTGGAGCACCTGGCTTCAATAGGTCCCCTGTGCAAGAGATGTCAATCATCATATGTCCCTTAGTAAAGGAAAACAGCCTGCCCTCAGCCCTTGAGAGAATGAAAGAGATGGTCTGGACAGTATTCTTGAATCCATAATTTCCCTCCTGTTTCAGGTCTTGGAAAGCCTCGATGAACTGTAGTTTCTATCCTTGGACTCTCATGAGAATCCATTTTTAGGTTAACCCCACCTTCTCTTGAGCCGATTTGCCCACTGCTTGCTGATAAGAATTGGGAAGTAAATACAGGGAGGTTGTTGCCTCAATCCTAGACTGAGGGAAGAATGCCGGCCAGGGGATACATTTAGACAGAGGAGATCTGAAAAGACGATCAGGTGCTAGGTCAGGGGGAGAACCAGCTCCACATGTCCAAGAGCCTGGGGAGAAAGCTTCATGTCCACTGGGGATGACTTAAGGGTAGGGGAGCAGGGTCAGGTCTTGGGTGGCATAGAAAGCTCTCAGAGTAGGAATGTGAGGCTCTAGTGATTGAGGGATGAAGGGGGAAGGGAGCACCATGGAAGGAACTAGAAGGAGAAGACTGAAAGGGAAATGGAAGAATTTGAGCTCATCCACAGATTTTTGTTGCATTTCCCTGACTGAGGGGGCACTCATTACATGCTGGGAAACAATTCCTGTGAAGCACATGACTGCGTCTTGTACACTGACCTTTATACACAGTATAAACAAAGGAGACAATCATCTCAGGGTAGACATGGTCCCCGTCCCCCCTTACATAAAATAGAAAGAATGATATAATGGTTACCTGTCCATTTTCTCATTTTTGTCTTGGCAATGAGAAAATGCAGGTGCAACTTTCATGCTTGATTATGATAATTCTCTTGTTCTGGGTTGTCTTACATGTATCTTCTTTCCTTCTAAAAACTTTCTGGTCTTTCCTTTTTCTATTTGCCATAACCTACGTTACCTAGGTTTCATATGTGCCTCTAAATTTTAGGCAGTTTCCCATTCCTTTGGCAAGCAGTCTGGATTTGAAGTGCAAACAGTGAATGGTTCTGCTGTACGTCACGAAAGTACCCTTCTCACTGCTCCCAAGTGCAGTGCCTGAAGAAGAGCTTCATGAGGTTGAAAATTCAGTGATGTGACAGTCTAAGTGGGCCAGAGGCTGAGGACACAGGTACTGTCCTCCTCCCCCTGCCAGCCCCAATGTCTTCAGCACACTCCACCCCTACCCCGCCAGCCTCACAGAAGAAGCACACCTCAGAGAGAACTCTACCCTAGAATATTCAATGTGCAGTATCCCACCCACTCGTCCGTTTGGTAATTCTTTGGTGCACCCATGCAACAAACACTCATCAAGCACTTACCAAGTGTGAGGCGCTCCCTCTGGTAGTTCGGATACAAAGAAAAATAAAATGGAAAACTAATTTAGCAAAGATATTTCATGAAGTTAAAGTGGCCCTTAGTCCATTCATGAAATATTTTCAGTCTCATTTTGTGATTGGCATACAGCTGGAAGCGGAATTCACCCTCTTCCCCCAGTTTGCTGCCTGGGCTCCATAGAATCTCAGCTCCGTCCACCCTGAGATTTCTCAAGAACATCCACTGTCATGAGCTTGACTGTGGGCCAAGACGGTGTCAGAACTCTGCTCAGAGGGGCGGTTTTATTTGCTGACTGGACGGTGCTGCCTCATTTGCCCCCCAGTGTGTGAAATGCACCTTTAGGGAGATCTTCCCTCTTGTCTCTAAGAATAATGGACCCATTGACCTATAATGGGATGAGGATGTCACAGAAGAAAGGGGATGTTGAACATGGAGGCATTAAGACCGATGATGCCCTGTAAGGAAGGACCCAGCCTGCCTGACCATTTGCCTCCTCCCGCGATACCGGCATAGGCCACAACATCAAAAGAGTCTCCTAAAAGCATGCGGGAAGGGAAGGCTGCCCTTTGTTCCCAAGATCACCCTAATGACCCTTGGGAGGCCACAGCCACTTGGGCAAGTGAGGGGATTCCTAGGACTATTCGCTGTCACCCATGTAGGACACTGCCAGGTGTCACAGTTTCAGTGTATAGCTCATGAACAGCTAAAAACAACACGCATGTCGTAGACAGGGCTGGGCTAGCCATGGGAAGGAGACTCTGACACCAGGTAGTGGCAACTTGGAAAAATGGGAATTGGATCTCTTGGAAGCTGAGACACTGCCTGCTCGGACACAGATGTGGACCTCCATTGATCCATCTGCTGGGCTGCAGTGTCCTCACTAAAAAAGGAGAGGGTTTGAATGTGCTTTTTCTGAGATTGACTCTGACCCAATGCTGTGCTCTTTGGCAGGACAGAAGGTGTCCTTTGCCATGGACTGGACTGGACCAGAAACCCTCATGCCCCACTGTCAGTCTCTTTTCACTTCATCCCCCCACAGTCAAATATGTCCCCTTGCTTTTCTCCCATCCCCATGAAGGAATGAATCAACACTGGACATGGGGAAAATGGCACTGAATTCTCTTTCAGAGCAGCAGGGACCTCAGCAGGGAGCCAAGGAGGGGGCGGAGGAACCTGCCTCTTCAGGCTGGGAATTCACAGATGGCCAAGAAGGAGGAGGAGCAGGAGATGTCATTCCAGAGCCCATCTCTTAGGAGGAGGACACAGTCCTCCCCTGAGCCATGGTTATTAGGCTCATTCTTCTTCCAGTTGCTGTAGCCCATCCTCCCTCCTGTTACATACATAAACTGGCCTTCGGTCACCTCATCTGTGATGCCCAGGAAAGCAATGTCAGGGGCCATGTCCTGGATGGCTTTGTTCTCCTCAGCATTCTTGGGGGTGGCCACGGTGGCCCCAAGCTCAGCGCACAGAGCCTTCACTTTGGAAAAAGGCATCTTTTCACCATTGGTCACGTAGAGCATCTTTCCAGACTTTTTACCCAAGGAGAAGCTTTGCACTGAAATCACAAAATGTAGGTGGGGTTGACTTGGCTTCAAGCCCAGCCTGGGACAGCAGATGAAAAAGCCCTTCTCTGGGAACTTGGGAGTCTGGGGTTGAGCCCCATTCTCTACCACCTCTGGTGAGATCCTAGTAAGAAGGTGGAAGGCAAGTCCCTGGCAGCAAGCCGGGGCTCTCCTGGCATATCCCATCCTTAGGACAAATATCTGTTAAAAACTGTTCCAGTACAGGTGGACCTAGGGAAACATGCTTGAGCCCCACTGCCAGACATGGGCACCAGGATGAGAAAGAGGCATGGACCGCCATCTGAGGCCCGTGGGTGCTAAGGAAGGAGCAAAGATTCCAGAGTCAGCAGACCTCCACGCCATCCTCCTTCCCACTTCCTAACTGTATGCTGTTGAATGAATTATCTATACTTCCCGGACCTATTTTTTTCTCACCTGTAAATAAAATGGGTGTAATACCCACAAATAGGGATGGCAAGACGATTGAATAAAACCAAATTATGAGAAAATTCCCACCTAGTATATAATAAGTTGTCATAAGTGTAAGTTCTTTTCCACCGTCCCCCCAAAACCTAGAGCATTCTGGAGAAAAAAGTTAGAGTCAAGAACACATTGGGGACAGAAAAAAAGCTTACACTTTTTGATGTGATCCAGTTGTGATTTCAGGCTCCTTATCCGTCCCTCTAAGTCAGCCAGCTTAGCCTCGGCAACTATAAAGCAATAGGGAGAGGATATTTATTTAGAAGAAGACCCTCAATTGGAGAGCAGAGTATTTTGAAAAAAAAAAAATGAGCTTGCTGAAAAGTATTCGTATTCCAGAAAAATAAGAAAACAAAAAGAAGCAAAAGGGGAAAAAAACTGTATTCTTGCCTTCTCAGATATACTTAGTAACTATTGTAAACTATAACTCTGGAAATAATAATAATAATACCATAAACTATAGCTCTGGATCCTTTTCTTCATATACTGCTTAAATATTGCAATATTATAATTATTTATAAGAAAAGGCCCAGCTAATTTTTCTCCTTTTTGAAAACTTTTCTTAATCATATTTTCATTTCCTATTCTAGGCAAACTCTTTAATACGTTTATTATTCTGATAGGCCAGTGGACAAATATAAGTAAGAGGTCATCCTTTTGGTTTTGTTGTTACTGAATTTATTTTACTCTGAACTAAGTTGCTGTGATGTCCCCCATTATCCAGGGGTCCTATGAGGCCAACCCTTTTCATGCCACTCTTGTGACAACAGACAAAATCCAACAGCAGAGAGGACCAGTTTCCTCCCTTGCAGCCTGGAACCACGTACTGGACTGTTGCAGCTGAAGAAGGGCCAGGGCACATGTCCTACAGAGGTCTGCTGAGGGTGAGGCAGGCAGGGTTCGGAAGTCTATACCCGGGCACCAGTGGGAATCCCCTTGGGCCCCAAGGAACTGAGAGGAATGAGGGCGCTGGGTCAGGAAGCAGAGCTGAGCATCTTCCAGTGGGGCAGCAGGAGACGGGGCACCTCCCACCTGGCCCTGGAATTCCCAGGTCCTGGGTCCCCACAGCCCACATCACTTGCTGGGGTGAGCTCCTTACCCGAACTGTCTCCACGATCTCCTTTGTGGCCCTTTGGTCCTGGAAGCCCAGGATTCCCTATATTTCCTTGAGGCCCCATTTTCCCTGGAGGGCCCTGCAAGCCTCTGAGCCCTGGCCCTGTTGGAAGAGGAAGGAAATGTGACCCAGTGTCTGTCACTCATTCTCTTTCTCCAAAAGCTCAATATTTGATTGACCCCAAGAAACCACCACTCAGCTAGCAGTGATCCAAAGAAGAAAGATCCTCCTGCGTCTCAGGGGATGGCCTGTCCTAAGGGCCAGCTCCCTGAGCATCACCAATTCCTGGGTGGCAGTGAGGGATCCTGGAGAGCCAGAGAAGCATCTTTATTTTGGAGAGAATGCCCTTTTACAGGAGTTTTTCTGAATGAATCGTCACCTACCATAATGAAAGGTGAGCCTCCTCATGTCTCTGTGCCAGATCCCTTATAGAGAACACCCTCCCGTTGGGGTAAAAGATTGAAGAAGTCAGAGCGGCCTGTCCTATACCTGGTTCTCCCTTTTCTCCCTTGGGTCCATCTCGTCCATCTCTGCCTGGGGTGCCGTTGGTGACCGGGATGCCACAGGTCACCACTGAACAGGTCTTCTGGGCATCCTCACAGGCTTTTGTTTCTGAGCAGGATGTTGTCACCACACACAGAAGGAGGACAGGAAGTGACAAAAACAGGAACATGGTCCTTACCTTAGAGTGGAGAAAGTCAAAGAAAATAATTCCATCTCATTTGGTTTGCTACCATCTCTGATGTGTTGGACCCTGTGCTCGGGGCAGCTGACACAGAGGGGGATGTCACAACTCTTGGCCCTGAGTTACTCCCAGGCTACTAGGAAAACTATTACTAGCACAGGCAAGATGTATTAGAGTTAGATCAGTGCTAAAACAAATATAGATGCAAGAGTAATATCACAGGGGCCCACTTTCCCTGGGGCTCTCATGCCCTGTGGGCCCAAGGCTTAGTTGGTTAGGCAGCCCTAAGCACGAAAGCCCACAGGGTCTACAAATGCCACACAAGCCCTGTTCCCGATGGCCCGGCAAAGAGAGCTCATTTCTTGCATGACCTTTGGCTACTCTCCTCTCAACTCCCTTTCTTGAGGGCCTAAGTAGCCTAAATTTCCCTCTTCTTCTCCTTCCTATGGACGCTAAAGGTAGACTCAAACTATAGCATGTGACCCATTGCTTGGCGGGACCTGTTTTACAACATCCGTTGTCTCGTGTCGCATAAAAATCTGTTTTACACCACAGGGCCCCAACCACCCCCAGAATCACAGCTGTTTCCCCAACAACTTGTCAATCATCCTGTTTCATAAAGTCTCTACTTTGTGACAGGCACTTGCTGGGACTCGGGACCCAGAGTACCCTGAGGTATGGAAACTTGTTCTGACCCTGAGAATGGAACCTTCTTTGGTCATTGATCCTGGCCAGTTGCCACTTAGATTTATCTCCTTCCCTTGCTTTGAGATTTTCCACCGAGAGGCCATTTTTCCAGCCAGAACCCAGGCTCCTAAAATTTCTGTTCACCCTGGGCCCAGCAGGGTCAGCTCATACTCCTCCTGGCAGGATCCTCTGCATGCTTCCGAGACGCTTCTCCGGCTCTGTGCCCCCATCCAGCCATCAGATTCGCATCCAGCCTTTGCTCGAGCTGGTCCCCTTCCAGGAAGCCTCACAGCCCAGCCCCCATGGGCCTATCCCTCTGCTCCTCTCTGACCTCTAATTCCAACGTCCCTGCACAACTACTGCATCTGTCCTTGGCCACCTTGGCCTGTCAGCTCCCTTAACCCTTCCTTCCCTCCAGGACTCAGTGAGAAGTAGGAAGTTGGGAGGGAATTTTCTTTCTTTCCTTCTTTCTTTCTTTTTTTTTTTTAGGATTTTTAATTTTTAAATTTATTTATGTGCTCTCTCTTTTTTGTTGTTTTTGTTTGTTTGTTTGTTTGTTTATTTTGTTTTGGCTGCACTGTGTGGCATGTGGGATCCCAGTTCTCTGACCAGGGATGGAACCCGTGCCCTCTGCCGTGGAAGCACGGATTCTTAACCACTGGACTGCCAGGGAAGTCCCGGAAGGGAATTTTCTTGATCAAATCTTCTCCACCTTCCCTCTCTCTTAAGCTCCCCTGATTATGTGGGAGGCCAAAGCCAGAGCTAAACATGTTGCTGGCATACACACCCCACTTCCATTCTTCTGTTTGGCTGAAAAGACCACCTTTAGTTTGCAGATGGTAACCTGGATCCAGGAAGGGCACAAGGCCCCAGGTCAGAGAGACAGAGGCCCTCAGGGGGCCTGACAACCCCACCACAGCCCCTGCCTGGAACTCACCAGGGTCAAGCCAAGTGGCCAGACTCTTGGCCGAGGCCTCCTCTTCTGTCCTCAGAAATGACTTACTAGGGGCCTCCTCAGAGCACAGAGGCTATGGCAGGGAAGCTGGTCCTCCAGCCTAGGCCTCTGGCAGATGCCTCAGCAATGTCAGCCCCAATTAGTCTGGTGACCAGGGACAGTGCTGGACTGGCCTTCAACCCCAGATTAATAAACAACCATCCTCAGAACCGCTGTATCCTGGGCAGTTCTCCAGGGCTGCTGGTGGGGTCTCCAGCTTAGCACGGGGCAGCTCTCTACTGCAACACCCCAGACTCCTCCCACTGCTCCCTCCCATGCATCTGTCTCTATAGCTCTGCTATCTGATCCTCTAGAATCACAGATTCCCAGATCATAGATCAGAATCCCAGAGGACAGTTCTTTCCAAATATTTGTCTCTGGAAGGGACATGCATAGACATCCTACCAAACACGTGCTCATGCAGACACACATGTACAGGCGTACACCTGTGTATCAGTTGTTCTGCCTAGTTCTCCCTTCCATTCATATTTAATTTACTAGGAGCAGGAGGGAAGGAGTTAAACACCTACAGCACTGAGTCACCTCATTCCTCCCTTGTCATTCAGAACATTCGTCAGCTGCCCTGTCGGTGCGTCGCAGCGCTAGGCACAAGGAAAGGAAGTGTTTGTAGACAACTCAAATTCAAAGCTGAACATGGGCATTTGCACTAGCTCTTCCAGCTTAGGACACTTCTCTCCATCTTTGCATAATTGCTTGTTGTCGTTCAGATTTCATCTTAAATATTATTGCTGGAGAAAGGGCTTTCCCTAACCATTCTATCACAAAATTATAATTCTCTGTTTTAGTTATCTGCTTATAATTCTTCTCTATGTAAAATTGTCCTATTTCTTTGGTTGCATATTTATCGACCATCCCACTCCTTTAGAACAGGAACTTCATGAGAACAGGCATCTTGCTTCCCCACCTCTAAGAGGGCCTGGAAACGGAATCAACGCTCAAACATTTGTGGAACAGAGGAATCCTCCGGCATCGTGTCCTCAAAAGTGGCATCGTGTCCACTTTTCTAGGGCAGGAGCTGTATTTGATTCCCCTCCTTGTCTCCAGGGTGTAACTCAGGGCTGGGCACTTGGGGAGGATCCACTGAGAGAGTGAGAAGGGAAGCAGAGACGCTGAGCAGGGCAGACACCAGATCAGTCTGCGGCTCCTCCACGCCTGGGTTTCCAGGAGTGTCTGGTTCTTATCTCCAGAGGCTGATCAAGTGGCCTTTTTCAAGTCACTGATATAACTTTTGATTCCTGCCTTCCCCCAAACTTACACCCACTCTTTGAAACACTTAGTCTCACCAAACAACTCTAGAGGTTTGCTTTTTTCCTGCGGTGGAGCAGGGGTAGGGCCGTTTCCCTTGGACTCTGCCTTGTGATTGCTGCTTTCGACCCTCAAGAGTCATCGGCCCTTGTGTACTCAAGTCACTGTGCCCTGTTCAGCAAGCCCCCCAGGTTCCTCTTATCAAGGAGGCTGCCAGGCACTGAGAGGGGCCCCTTGTAAAGAAGACCCCCCCTCAGGGCTGTGTTTCCTGATGCCATTGACACAACTCCGAAGGGCCCATAGGCTCAGAGGACAAAGAACTCTCAAACCCTACGGCAAATGAGCAGACCTCCCAGAAAGGTGGAAATCTGAAGCTGAGAGATTTACATACAACCAGGACCCTATATGTCCTACAGACTTAGAGGAAAGATGGCTTTAGAAGGAGGGAAGAGGATAGAACGGGAGGAGGGAGGGATATGCACTGCGAGCAAAGGGACAATAAGAAATACTTGACTCTGGTGGGACAAAGCCCCCCCTCGAGGATGCGTATCCATTGGGTCTGTCCTGTCATAGATCTGGGGTTTGAATTTATGCTTATTAGTATTATTTTGCTATTATTATTATTATTAAAATTTTCCCTTCATGCCAAGATGAAAAATTGTTTTTCAAGGGTCCCAGCTCATCACAATCTAGTGTAGCATGGGGACGTAAAAGCAATGGAGGACCTTACCCTTAACCCAGGCACCTCAGGATTTTCTCAGATGAAGATCAGGTAAATTAGAATTCACCTTATAAAAACTACTGAACACAGTGAAAAATAAGTAGAGTGAAATCTGACTGACACAAGACTCAAAACTAGGCCTCGGAATGCTGTCAACTCTAGACAACAGATAAATTGATAGTTTTAAAAAGACAGTATAGGGCTTCCCTGGTGGCGCAGTGGTTAAGAATCTGCCTACCAATGCAGGGGACGGGGGTTCGATCCCTGGACCAGGAAGATCCCACATGCAGCAGAACAACTAAGCCCGTGCACCACAACTACCTGCGCTGTAGAGCCCATGAGCCACAAGTACTGAAGACCGCGCACCACAGCTACTGAATCCCGCGTGCCTAGAGCCTGTGCTCTGCAACAAGAGAAGCCACGACAATGAGAAACCCGCGCACCACAAGGAAGAGTAGCCCCCGCTTGCCACAACTAGAGAAAGCCCTCTCAAGGCAATGAAGACCAAACACAGCCAAAAATAAATAAATAAATTTAATTTTTAAAAAGACAGTATAAATAAGGAATAAAGAAGGAATAATAAATAAATAAGGAATAAATAAAAATTAAACAGTGAAACTCGAACTACAATAAGGAAATAACTATAGAGCTATTAATAAAATTTCAGAAACGCTCGTTCTTTGCAAAAATAAACAAATTTGGCAAACATAACCCTGGTGGTTTGAATTACTCTCCTGATTTCCACATTTTCTTTTCATAGAAATATATATCCATGCCCTTTGCCATGGTACTTTGCAATGCCTCCCACTGGAGTATGTGGAGTAAACACCCCAACCCCTTTGATATTTGCCTTGGCCATGTGACCGTGAGCGGACACTAAGGGAGCAGCAGCTTTAAATGTGGGAAGAATATGTCCCCAGTAGCCACTAATATCAGAATAATGAAATGATGTGGAGCGAACAGGAACTCCCCTGAAAGCTTGAAGTAAAAAAAGAGTTTAAATTAAAGTCCAGCCATGCATCCATGGTTAATAGCACAGTCCCTGGAATCTGACTTCCTGTATTCATAGCCCACTACTGCCATGAACTGGCTGCATGATCTTTGGACAATCACTTTAATCTCTACGTGCCTCAATATTCTCATCTGTAAATTGGGTGTAATAATAACGTCTACATAATAGGGTTAATGAGGATTATATGAGTTAATGGAAGTATAATACCTGGTACGTGGTAAGTGTGATGAGAGTATCAGCCATTAAACCACGTAGGGTATCCCAGGAATGCAAAGATGGTTCAACATCAAAACATAGTCCAGTTAACTCACTAATTTAATATATAACAAGTTTAAGAATCTTAATGCAGATATGTACAATCTTGAGGCTTGAAGCTCACCCTTTTCTTGAAACTAATACATGCTCTCAAAATTCTTCATACCTATTCTTCCCTTGGAATACAAACTTTCTAGGGTTGAGTTCAAATATAGTCCAAATGATTATTGTCCCTTAGTTTTGTCACTAAAATCTGTTTTATCTCTGATTCATCACCACCCTGGCCATAGAGTGGCGGCTTCTTGAAGTGAAGGGTGGACAGTGCCTCCTCTCTTATTTATTTATTTATTTTTTGCATGTATGGTTGGTAGAGAGAGTGATGGTGCCCAGGGTGGCAATACCTGCTCACAGGAGGCACCATATATCAGTGGGAACACTGCTGCTTCTCGGCCCATCCTAACTGGTTGTTGGGTCCCTCTGTATGACTGATTATAAATGACAGCTCCTCCCAGGAGCTGGTCCTTCAGATAAGGGGCTCTGTAAAAGCCTCCAGCTGCCTGCTCCCTACCCTCAACATGACATCAGTGAACACGTCACTTCATAGTCTCTTGCTCTTCAAGTCCCTGTGTTCCAAGAAGCAATCTGCTCGTGAGTAGGGCTTAAACTCTGGCTAGCTTCCATGACATCGACGTTGGCAGCCCCTGGGAAATTCCATCCAAGTGGTGGAAATCCACATTGCCCCAGAACACACCTGCTAACGGTTCTATTCTCCCCCTTCTCCATCTCCCCATGCCTCAGCAAGATCAGGCCCTCTGCTGGTTCAGCTCTTCAGCAATTTTAGAACAGGAGATTCCTGCCTTAGGTGACTTAATGAGGGAAGGAAGGCAAAGTAATTCGGGCATCCCTATTTGCAAAAATTAGGAGGAGGATAGGACAGTCCCCTCCCCCATGCCACAGGGAGAGGAGAGGAAGGGATAAATTCCATTGTGAGAGTACAGATGTCACCCATGGAAGGTCAGCTTGCTTTCGCCTCTTTAGTCTTCCTTATACTGACCAACAGAATGCGAATTACTAAACCACTCACGTTGAATGGCCCTCACCTTGCAGGTTCCATGGTGGGGTCCCTGGAACCCCCTGGACTCATTAAAAGATGACCCTTTTACTCTCACCTGTGGGCTCTAGATGCCAGTACCCAGGAACAAGAAATGACTCAACTCACACTTGACACCCTTTTGATGTTAACAGCTTAAAGGAAATGCCAAAGAAATCACCCGATAAAGCTCAGTACACATTCATGATGAAAATGAATCTCAGCAAACTAGGAAAAAGAGGGAACTTTGCCTTGATAAAAGGCATCAGAAACCTAAAACAAGCAACTCCATGCTGAAATACTGGAAATGTTCTCATGATACATTCAATGCGCCCCTAAAGATAACATTCATCACTGAGTGTCTTCAACAATATATAGGGTCTCCTGGCCCCTACAAAAAGGTAAGAATGATATATAAGAAATATAAATATCATGAGGAACAGGCAAAACTTCTGTCATTTGTAAATATAAGCATATATTTATAAAATGTGAGAATCAATTATTAGAAATATTAGAGGGAAAGTGAGAATCCAAAATGATGGCTGGACATACAATCAACCAAAAATAAATCAATAGTTTTCTTATAAACCAGCAATAATTAATTTAAAATGCGATAAAAATAATATAATAACAATTGCAAATAACACCATAAAGGAAGTAAAAATAAACCTAACAAGAAATGAGAAGACAACGATTTTCAGAGACTTAGACTGTTCCTCCGTAAAATACGGGAAATATGTTTCTCCGTACTTTTTTGAATTTTGGGGAAGGCTCAATAATTTGTGTGCTGGGCCCTAAGCTCATGTGGCAGGGTGACCAGATTAAAAATTGACATTCATGAAAGAATGAGAAATAGTTCTGCTCGTTCCCATCTGGTTTTGTGGATTGTGATCCAGAACTTCCTCTTGTCCCGAAAAAGAAGTATATGCAGTGAGGGAGGGCATTACGTGAAGGTGGGAGAAGTGGGGACCTTTCTGGAGATGGGACATAGATATGGTCACCTCCTCAAGCAAGTAGAGACATGATCCAATTCCCACACAGCCTTGGGACATGGGGGCCATGGTCCCTTTCCATGCAGTCCTGAGACTGAGGTGGCTCACAGAGCCCTGAATGCCACCACTGTTGGGCCATGGCAAACATCCAGGGGGCTGAGTGGGGAACGGAAGGCATGATATCACCACCCTCAAATGGAACATGTAGACTTAGATCAGGAGCTATCTGGATGCCAGCCATCAACACTAATGCTCCTCTGTTCCTCCAGACATTTCTGTAACCCCCCATCTGCCCATACAACCTGAGGGTGGGAGCAGGTTGCCCCTTCCACCCAACAAAGAAAGCTTAACCTGAGATTGAACTTTCCACTTTTCAGGTAAGCGGGGCCTCAGAGCCAGAGTTAACTTGATTTCTAAAATCACAGAAATATTTCTTGAAACCAAAGCAATGGAAACTCATGTTAACATATTCATGATTTATTACACTTGAATCATCTCTGCTCAGTGAGAGGATGGGGTGGTGATGAGCATAAGCTTCAGGTTCAGGTAGATGGGTTTGAAAACAGCCTCTGTCACTTGCTCCGTGTAACAAAACTCAAAACATTTAACTTCTTTAAGTTTCAGTGTTCTTGTATAAAAAATGGGGAAAATAATGCTCATTCCATGGCACTGTGTGAAGATTAAATCATAGTTTATAAGATGTCTTAGAAGTGCTTGTCAAGGTGCTTGGTATATAGTATATGCTCAATAAACACTTCACTGAGGTCTGAAGTGGTGGGGATGTGTTCATCAGCAGGAAGTTACTTGGGTAATGCCTGAGGTGGGAGTGAGATCTTCCCTAGAGGCATAGGCTGGCTGCTTTTAGGTCAGGGAGTTGAGTTGGTACCCCCAGAGTCAAGGGAGTGGATAATACATGCCAATCACTAGGGGTGGGTTGGCCTCCACCATGCTGGGGCACCACCCGGCCCTCTGACCTCATGGAGAGCCTGAGCAGATGTGCCCCACAGACCTCAGGCTGCCAGATAATCCCGAATGTATCCTTAGCTCCACACATTTGGAATTTCCCAGAAGTCCACCCATCTATCATTATGCTTGAGCGGCACTGCTAAATCTTGATAAGGCTGGGCAGGCAGTGGGCTGCAAAGAAAGAGTAGAGGGGCCAGGAAGCAGGCACCCTGTGTGTGCTTTTGGAGGGAACCTCCATCCCAGGACTTCACTGTTGCCATCTATAAATGAAGGAGTTGGACAAGAAGAGGAAGAAAGAAGCCTCCCCCTCTTGCCAAAGGGCGAAGTTAGAGTGGCTGTCTAGAGTGCAAAGCTGAGAAGGGGCTCCGGGGGGAGTCAGACTGATTAGTAATCAAGGGGGAGGAGTCAGGGCCCAGCGGGGAGTGCCGTGGCTAAGATACCTCCAACTCTTATAGCTACAAAGGTGTTACAGCACCTCATAGACCAGGTGGATTCCCCAGGACGTGGGCTGAAAGGCAAGGCAGGACCCTCTCCATCCTGTGGCCATGGTGCCTGCTCAAAACTCACAGATGGCCAGTCGGGACTGCAGGCAGTTCTTGTCATTCCACCGGCCATCTGTGTACATCTCCACACACTTCTCTTTGCCCCAACCCCCGGGCTCCCCTGGGTACCAGTTGGTGTAATCCACAGGGGTTCCATCCAGGTAGTAGAAGTTTCCAGCAGTGGGATCCTCAGTCAGGCCCAGGTAAGCATAAGTATTGTGCTTCTTCACGATGTTTGCAATGGCCTCATTCTCCTCTAGACTCCTTGGGGTAGCAATGCGTCCACCTGCTCTGGCACACGACTCTCTAATGGCATCAAAATTGACCGACTGCCCACTGGTGGCGAAGACCTTCTCTCCCACTGCCAGCATGGACCCCTGCAGACTGAGGACTGACAGCAGAGGAATCCGGGTCAGGCCACAGGCCTCTTTGTTTCCAAGTCCTTTTCCTTCCCTTTATGCTCTCTGCCTTTATGCGCTTTGCAATCTCTTCACCTCTTCCTCTCTCTCCTTCTTCCCTCCTTCTTCCAATCCTAGTCTTTCTGGATTCCCCTCCATGCTCCCATCATTTAATTATCCATTCACCCATTTAACAATTACTTATTGACCGTCTATTACGTGCCTGAAACTGTGCAATTTCCTGGGATTCAATAGAGAGCAGTACAGCCAGGAACATTGCTTCCCCAGGACATAGGGAGAGAATCCACATCTACCTCAGTCTCCTCTGAGCCGTTCAGGAACATCTGAACAAGGACCTCCATGTCCACACTTGTTTGTCAAGTCTCTAGAGTCTGGAGCCTGATGCTGAGAACGAGGAGAACTTATGGGAACACCCTACCCTTAGAGGGTCCCAAGGGATCCCCTTACCGCGCATCATCTTCAGGATTTGATGGTTGATCTCAAGGAGTGTGCTCTGGAGCTCCTCGTCTAGATAAGATGGAAGCCCTGTAGAGAGATCCCCAGCAAGAAGAGGGGCAGGCCAACAAAAACCCCCACTTGTGCCAAGCAGGTGTGAGGCCAGCTGCAAGCCTGCCATTCTGCCCTTCACTTGTCTAGAGCCACTGCCCAGGCCCCAGGTCATAAGGGTCCCCGAGGTTGGAGTGTGTTTCCTACTCCCTACACACTTGTCCTTTAATGCAGCCTCGCACTTGCTCAGCCCCCTCTCTGCTCTTCTTTCCTGCCATATCCTTTCATGGCTCTGTCTGTCCACTTCTGCGGGGTTTTCTAGTTTCTGGGCAGGGCCCCCTTCCCCACCTTCCAATCACAAGAGCAAATGTGGTTCTCTCTGACTCTCCTGATGGACCTTGATTACTGCTCAGAGCTGCAGAGTTGCCCTGGACATGCGGGGTTCCCAGTGATATCATCTGTCTGGTCCTTGGTCCACATAAGCCCCTGCGCCCTCAGAATGCCCCTATGCCTCAGCACTAGGAAGTGCCTCGCCTCCTCGCAGTGCTGTCCCAGTTCCCACACCTGACGCCCTGTGTCTCCCCATCAGCTGTTGTGATGTGTGGAACACTTCCACTACCCACCAGTCCCTGCGCTGTGGCCCACGGCCCAGACCCCTCTGATTTCTCAACCTCATATTCTCTTATCTAGGTTGAAACATATACCCTTTGGGGACTTCCGTGGTTTTGTCTGCTCCCCTTCATCCCTCAAGTAACTGACCACATGGGCACGGTGTCCAGTTGCTTCTGTCCACTGGCCACATCCTGCTCACCTGGAGGACCCCTCTCACCAGGCTCTCCCTTTTCTCCACGCTCTCCAGTGAGGCCAGGGGCTCCAATCATCCCATCACGCCCAGGGGGGCCTGGCATTCCTCCAGGGGGGCCCATGGGGCCTGCAGAGAGAGGGGGACAAGGATGTATGCTATCTATCATCCACAGTGGGTTGGGGCTGATGGGACTGGACCTCCCTTATCAGCCAGGCTGACTCACCTGTCACTCCACAGGCACCTTGAGGGTAGACCCTCCAGGGCTGCTCCAGTCTATGGGTCCCCGGAAACTCCCACCATCCAGCTGACCCTTGAACGCAGCCCAGAACCCTGGACAGCAAGTCCCCCTGAAAACAGGTCACTGTCCCTCAGCTCCCACTCAGTACCTGGAGGTCCAGGGTCTCCTTTGATGCCATCTCTCCCATCTCTTCCTGGCAGGCCAGGGGATCCAGGAGTACCAGGGATGCCAGGGCTTCCAAGACAAACTTCCGTCATGTTGTACCCAAGGCCAGAAACCACCATCCAGATGAGGGTGAGGGTCAAAGAGCACAGCAGCATGGTGCCTGCTCCAGCGGCTCCTTCTGTGGAAGGGAAAGGCTGTGGCTCACCTGAAGCATTTGCCAAGGTCTCCCCTTGCTGTGCTTTGTCAAGATTCAGGCACATGATGGAGCCTGAGGGCCAGGGCAGGTACAGACAGGAGCTCTGGAAAGACCCATACTATCCTTGGAAACTCCCAGCATCATCTGGTATCTAACATGGTCTCATGCCCCATCCCTCTGGCTGGAGGTGGAGTGGTACCTGGGCAGGTGAGCAGTGGTAAAGAGCTCTGGAGAGTCAGAGGACCTCGGTTCTAATGGAGTCTCTGTTCCTCGCTGTGTGACCGTGGGGAACTCACTTCACCTCTCTTGGCTTCAGCTGAAACTTCTGTCCTGGAGGCAATCCTGGCCTGTCCCTCCCAGGCTGTTGGGAGGAAGGATGTGGTCAATATCCACTCGCTCCATCTGTCCCTCATCCTCTCAGCTACCCGTTGCTCTTGAGTTCTAAGGGATCATGATCCTGAGGATGAGCAGAGATGACCAGGGCCCACGTCTTGGCCACCCCACGGTGGTCAGTGATAGGGAGTCCCCTCCTCCCTGCTTTCTCGGGACGCTTTCTCTTTGGCAGGCTGTTTCTCCCCCTGCCTCCACCCTGCAGGCCCTGCTGAATCCCTGGGGCCAGTGGGCCCGGCCCAGGTGCACGGTGAGGATATTCGCAAGCCCACCTTCCTGTACCCATAGTTAGGGTTCTGTGGAACAAGTCCCAGTGGTGGGGCTAAACTCACCCACACGAACAGAGCCTATGTGGCTCTCTGCCTCCAGATCTGCCTCCAGGTGGCGAGGTGGACAGCAACATTTATACTGACGTAGGCTACCAGGCTTCCTCTCCACCCCAGGGAGGGGCCTGCCACAAGGACCTCTACTCCAGGACAGCCAGGCAGGAAGCTGTCATCTTGTTTACCCAGTACTTTTCCCCACAGGGCACTCAGCTGGAGGGCCACTTAGGAAACCCACTAAAGAGAAACTCCAGATCGGTAAGAAGGGACAATTCCCACGGACCGGAGGCCACCCACTCTCCCTCCACCCACTTTCCCCAAAGCAGTGAAGAACGAGAGCGCTTATACGGGAACCGATGGAGCCACGTGGCAAAGGGAGCCCTCTCCCTCCTGGGCCTTGGCCTCCCGGTCCTGGCTCGTGATACGTTCGCAGCCCCAGAATCACGATCCCCCAAAAGCCCGCCAGCTGGAGAGAACATACCAGGGCTGGACTCTTTTCCCAGGGGAGCAAAGAGGCAGGCTTCCTCCTGGGGCCATTCCAGCTCCAGAGCCTCTTTGGCTCTTGGAAGTGTCCATAGGGCTCCAGAGTGTGCAGAGGTCACGTCTGAAGCCAAAGGGTGGTCAGGGTGAGCTGGAACAAACTGTCTGTCATGGGGCGTGGCTCCCTACTGAGCCCCCAGCTCTTGCTTCCGGGGCCTGCAGCTGAGTTGACAGAGCATGGTTCACCGGTACAGGTGAACCCTGGGCGGGTTCCCCAGCCCTCCGCCCCGGCAGGCTCAGAGGTGGGGAAGCAGGGCGGGGGCTGGAAGGTCACAGGAGGACAGCAGTTTCTGTCTCGGCCTTGGTGATGTCTGACGACCTGCAGTGGTGGTTTCTTTAAGTAGTGGAATGACACGTGAAGCCTTAATTGATAAGATTCCCTCTTCAAGCCACTTGATGAGGAGGGAATCTCTAACATAAGGATGGTAACGATGGGGAACAGAGACAGGAAGAAATCGCCATGCTTACCCGTGAGTGGTCTGAAAAATCTTGAGATCCTCAGGGAGAGCGGGAGCTCAGCTAATGGAATCCCTTTCCCAGGAGCAGGGAGCCTGTCAGAGCCTCGCTGGAGCCCTGAGTGCTTTCAGCTGCCCTGCTGCCGCCTGTCACGTGCCCTGCGACCCTGTCAGGCACAGGATGGGGAGCCAGGGCCAGCGCAGGGTTGGGGCAACTGGGGAGCAGCTCCAGCTTAAGGACCACAACTCGGCTTGGAGGCAATGCGGTTCTGCAGGTGAAGGAATGGGAGCAGGGGTCTTCTTGGGCAGATTTTAAAGGGTCTAGGGGGAGGCAGCCTGGAGGTCCGGGCCATGGCTGGTGGGGAAGGGTGTGGACTAAGGAGTCAGACACACCTGAGCTGCACTTTGGAGCTGCCACTTGTTATCCCTGTGGCCTAGGTCAGGTTATATAACTTCCTGAGCCATGGTTTTCTGGGGTTCTTTGACATTATTATTTTGAAGTAATAACAAACCTACAAGAAAGAGGCAGGTGCACTACAAATTTTTTTCTGAACCTATGAGAGTAGGTTGCAAACATGACACTCCATCACCCTAGTATATTAGTTTATATTCCATATGAAGATGTTTTCCAATATAACCATCAAAATCAAGAAATTAACACTGGTTCAGATATTATTTTTACTTAAAAACATGAAAGAGTATCACGGGGTATTTTATTTAATCTTTTAAGTCACCTGTTTAACTTAAGTCACTCACATGGCTTAATGCCAATATATTAAAGTATGTCATAAAAATTCTAATAAAATGACTAATTAATTATTTACCTAGCCTTACCTCCTTCTTCATCCTGTGTTCCACCACTCTCCTTCTCCAGCTTCTAAGAGGATGCCCCAAGTTCACAGAACTGAGGGGTGCTTTCCACGGCGCTCTTCCTCTGAGCATGATTCTTCTCTTGTCTGGAGTGTTCTGACTGCCTTTTCTGCCACACACAACAAAGGGTGGATGTCATACAATATTTGTCTTTCTCTGTCTGACTTATCTCACTTAGCATAATGTCCTCAAGGACTATCCATGTTGCTGCAAATGACAGGATTTCCCTTTTTTCGTGGGTGAATAATATTCCGTTGTATGTATACACCACATCTTTATCCATTCATGTATCCGTGGACACTTAGGTTGTTTCCATCCTTGTGAATAATGCTGCAATAAACATGGGAGTGAAGATATCTCCTTGAAAACCTGTTTTCATTTCCTTTGGATATATACCCAAAACTGGGACGGCTGGATCATATAGTAGTTCTGTTTTTAAATTTTTGAGGGACCTCCATACTGTTACCCATAGTGGCTAGACCCATTTACCAGTTTATAATCCCACCAACAGTGCACAAGGGAACACATAATTTTTTACTGTAAGTATGCAACATTTGGGACGTACTTATACTAAAAAATTATTCATTGTTTATCTGAAGTTCAGGTGTCGTTGGGCATCTTATATTTTATCTGGCAAACCTACCTGCAGGTACCATCAAGCAGAGGCTCTGGGGGAGGCAGGAGAGACCTCCTCTGGCTTGCTGTCATCTTATGGGTTTAGTCTGGGCCCACATTGTCAAAGTTGCTGATTTTTGGCTCAGATATGGATGAAAAGTCTTCCTGACCTCTGTGTGGCTTTTGAGCAGGGGCTGAAGTGTGGAGTGTATGAGTTACAAATGGGGCTGGTATTTAAAACAAACCCCAGCTCTCCTGAAGCGGCAGGGAACATCCAGGAGCCGGGGGTGAGAAAGCCCAGGATTTGCTTTATCCCTGCCTCCACCTGGACTAGAATGACTCTCCTGAGGAGTTTCCATGGCTACATTGGGAGGGAGGACAGCAAGGTAAGACCCAGTAGGACAGAGCAAAGGAAGGGACCAGGTGTGGCTGCAGGTCCCGACCAGCCTTCCTGGGGATGAGTGTCCATCAAAGCAGGGATGGTGACCAAGTGCACAGGCTTCTCACAGAGTCTAAGTGTCCATTTCTCTGGGGCAGTGGGCTCTAGATGCCTTGCAAACACGTGCAAAGCCCAGAGAGGAGGCACTAGCCAGGGCTCAGGCCCTGGTGGTTGTTTACCTGAGGCTGCCTGGTGGAGACAAAGCTGAGAGCAGCCGGTGGGACGGGACAGGACAGGCAGACAGCAGGGGCAGGGAGCGGTTGGCAGCAAGCAGGCTGGGGTTCTCCCCAGGAAAGATGCAGGGTGGGCTGCACCTGGGTCCCAGCCGTAGGGAGCTAGAGAAACCGTCTGCCACCTACACTGCGACAGGAGAGAACTCTCAATGGCCTGCAAGCTTCTTCATGGACAACACTTTAGTTTAACTCCAGTGCATCACGGGATCAAGGAGGCCCTGGTCTTCAGAATCAAACAGGTACATTAGCATGTGCTCTACACAGTCACAGCTGTTCCCCTGGGAGGAATTCCAGGCTCAGGACAACATGGGATTCTTTTCGCCCTGCTTCATGGAACAACCAGCTTCTGGTCTGATCCCAGCCTCGTGTTTTCACTGGAACTGAAGGGACTTTTCCCATCATGGATCTCCCTACTCCTCCCCCACATTCACTGCATTCATCCGGTGCCTCCACTGTCCTCAGAGGACACCTGAGCCCACATCCTGACACCCATGTGACCCTCCCGTGACAGCCTCGGCCCCCTCCTGGCTCACCCAGGAGCCAGGCCCCGGAACACCGTGGCGTCAGCTGTGGGCGTGTCCACAGAGCTCTCTAAAGAGGCTCCTTCTTCCTGGTCCTACAGCCTGGATGTGTTCTACTCTCTCGTGTGCAGTGCCCTTCTGTGAGTCCACCTATATTTAATTAACCTCAGATTACAGCAACAATACCTCAACACACTCATTCTAGACTTTTGAAAACATTTCAGAAGGGACCAAAGCCTCTCGGCATTTAGGCCTGCAACGCTTGTCCCAGTGATCTGGGATGTCGGAGCGATGTCCCCTCAGGCCAAGTTGTGGGCCTAAGACTGGCTATGGTCTGGGTTTCATTTTCTAAAAGACCTGAATGTTCAAGAAGAGAGGGCATTCTCTGGAGCTTTCAGCTTAAAAGTGGCTCAAGAATGGGGCCCGAGAAGGAGGTCTCAGCACCGCCCACCCTGCTCCCTCAGGGTATCCTGAAGGGCAGCCAGACCACAGGCTGCTCCACCTGGTTGGGCTGAAGAGATGATAAAAGGTGACAGTTCAGGTAGAGCTCCTGGCAGGGTGACTGGTGTGGGGAAAATCTGATCCTTGCCGGAGTGTCCCACCTCTGTAGAGGTGAAGGGACCAGCTCCTCAGGCACCCGTCCAATGCCCGCCCTCTGCGGGGGCAGGCAGGGCTTCCCTGGCATCTGCATCACTCCTAACTCTAGGGTCTTCTTCCGAAACTACCCCCTGGTGTGTGGCTGCTGCTTTCCAGGCCCCTTGTAGCAGAGGATCTGTTGGGTGGGTGCTGGAGTTGTTACTCACTGACCCGGGAGAAACTGACTAGGAACAAATAAAGACTCCAGCTTCCAGTCAACATGTATTTAAAACAGCTTCAACCAAACACATCTTGGTTTATTGGGAGATGGTGTTAATATAAAAATTATGACTGTGAGTATAAATATAAAAAACTGAATTTGTGCTTCATATATGACCCGAGCCAGAGGAACTCAGCCCTCTGCAAAGCGAGCACAGCCCCACCATGTGCCAGAGCTGGGACCCTCCTAAGCTACATGGCTGTGCCCCAACTCAAGACCAGAGGGCACATGCTGGGCCATGGACCCCACACTGCCCCAGGTCAGGAGCCAGGCCTGCAGGGACATTCAGAGAGGCAGGGCCTTCAGGAGTGCAACTATGGAGATGACCACTGCAGGGCCACTGGCCACCAGCCACATCTGCTTCCACCACAAAGCCTTGTCCCAGCAACCCAGCGGTACTGTCCTGGGGCTGTGCCCACTGCCGTGGCTTGTCTGTACACAGCCCTGCAGACATCCATAGGACAAACACGGAATCTGCATGAGATCCTGACCCAGCATCCAGCCTGGTCCGAGGAGCAACAGGGATACTGAAGCTGGAGGAGAAAGAGCCTCTGCCTGTGAAGTGTGGAAGGGTAACCTGAGGATGAGTGTCTCGGATAAACATGAACCAGGGAAGGGAGCAGGTGACTAATCAGAGACCCACAAGGACGCAAGCACACCCTGCGAATGCAGAGGGAACTGAGAGACCAGCAGAGGGTTGCACACAGCTTGAGGTCCACCCCGGAGAACCAAGGAGAGTTAGCCAGATTGGGAGAGACACATGGGAGGAATAGAGGGGCCCACGGGGGGAAGGAGACCCAGGCTGGTACATGTCACAAAAGGCCAGGGAGTGGTAGGACACAGTGCCACAAATGCTGCTGCCTGTGCCTCAGACTCATGACCCTGGGGAGAATCCTCACTCAGGAAGCCCGCGGTTCCCAGCTGTGCCCCTGAGGCCTGGCTCGCCGCAGGGTGGGGGATGGCACCTGGGCCTGGGGCTTCAGTGTCCTTGATCAGGAATTCCCATTCCCTTCTAAGTTCCACTTGAGAGCAGACACCAATGTTGGATGGCATCTGTGTCCCCCCCGGGTTTCCTGAAGAACCTGAGGGTCAGTCTCTCATGTGCATAATCCTTCCCCACCCCCAGAACAGTGCACCCCTAACAAAGGAGAAAGAAGGGGGTACTCCCTGGGATGAGAGGGGGCACAGGCACACCAAAGCCCTGAGACATCTGATCAGACTGGCGCAGGAACATTTGCCTCAACTGGACTTTTTTGTTCCAGAGAGATGGAATGTTGAGAAAAGGGTTCTGACCTCTCAGGGGCTGTGAATGGCTTCCGTACCTACAGAGGGGAACGGTGCTCCCTGAGTTCTGAGGCTTATCATCCCCAATAGAACTCCCAAGAGGGAGCCTGGCCTCGATCCCACGAGGAATGTATGGGTCAGCTCTGCCTTCTGGTGGCTGAATGAAAAACTGCAGTCAAAGGAGAGGATGTGCAGACAAACATCGCACATCACCCTCCAGGTTCATTGATTCCACCTTCACGGGGGGCTACTTTGTATCAGGTGCTGTGATAGGCCCTGACTTAATCCTCTGACTCCCCTGGTTGTATCCATGAGGATTATTCCCCGCTTCCTCCTGACCTAGTCTGATACAGAGTCTTCACCCTTGTGGGCCTCCCTTTGTCAGGGCTCTTCTTGCTAATCGTCCCATCCCTGTTTGTCCACAGAGGCTGACTCAGTGCTGTGCCCCAGAGAAGGCTGATATAAACCAGTGTCCATTCCTGAACACCTGCTAGGTACATTTACATCTACCATATCCCTCCAAGACTCACTGGAAGACAGGGCCCATCTTTACCCCCTTAGAGCAGAGAAGGACACTGAGTCTCAGTGAGGTTCCCATAACTTACTAGAAGTGGTCCAGCCTGCAGGTTCTAGAGCCTGGTTTAAACGTCTTTCCATCTGATCCCACAGCATCTTAGGCATGGCTTCCCTGAAGATCCAGTGCATTCTTTGCCCATAGCCATGGCTCAGGCCCTGGATGGGCTCCTCCTGGACTGTCACTCTGGCAACGTGGACCTCATCCAAGCCTCAGGTGCCAGGACGGCTTACTGTATCCCCCAGAAGCTCCAGCCTTGCTCTTTGCCTAGAATCCACACCCATCCCTGGACATGCTTGATCCTGGCTCAGCTAGACTGAGCTCAGCCACTTATACCCCAGCCTCCGGCCCCAAGGCTGCTGGCCCAGAGCTTGGTACAGGCTGCCCGCAAGGCCCTCAGCAGGTGCACTGCACAGCCGGTGGTGCCACTGGAGCAGGCTCTTTGCTCTAGCTGAAAAGACCCAGATGCCCTGGAGAGGTGGAACAGAGCTGAGAATCCCAGCCTGTACCCACCTTCTGCAGCCCTGAGTAACTGAGTTCAGTCCAGCCCTGGCCAGGGGCCCTGACAACCAGAGGGCAGCAGCTCTACTGGGCCCAGAACACCAGGAGCCCCCTGGGCCCCTCATTCCACACACCTGCTCCCCACACAATCAGCACAGCCCAGCCATTCTTTAATCAACTACAGAGACCATGAC